AAGGCTTAAGGGACCGCTAATAAATTTCAAGATACTTGCTCAAGCCCCTAAAACATGTTTTGAATCAGAAGTTTAATGTGCTCAATAAAACAGCTGAGGATCTTACCAAAATGCAGATTCTGACTCAATGGCTCTGGGCTGAAGCCTAAAATTTTTCATTTCTAACTAGCTTCCAGTAATGAGAATGCCGTTGATCTGAGAACCAGATTTTTTGTGTGCAACAATGTATTAAAGAACCATTTCACTTGTAGTCAAAACACTGCAGGTCACAGGCTACCTGAAACATTACCATTTCAATGTAATATCTTCCGATACTAAATGTCAGGCCCAATCACTTTCAGAACTTTAAATTTCACACAGTATATAAGTAATCTTCACTCTATTTGTCATGAGTCTAAGGATAAGCCAATTTAGATGAAACACTTTGAAAGCTTAGGATGAAAGGCAAAGTATAATAGTTTACAATTGCTTTAATCAGAATATCCAACTTGCTCATCAGCAAGAGATCTTTCCCCTCTTACTTTCTTAACTGTTTCCTGAATACCTAGAAGGCCAAGTACTTTTCAGTCATATTGGTAAAACTTGAGTGCCTACTTGACTTAAAACTCAGAAAACATATAAATATGTTAACTCTGGAAGACATTTAAAAGTATTTTTCCACTAAGCTCCCCCAAGATCTAGGCAAAAGAAAAACTAAGATTCCCAAACCTGTTTCTGTATCAGCCTGTGCTTGGTAACTTCCTTATCAAGATAATTAAATGTTTCAACATGAGTTGCCCATCAAAGAGCAATTGGCCAATACAAAAGTATATGCTACTCTGAACTAACACCAACTACTCAACACTCTGCTTATAATAAATAGATTTAGGTAACTTGGGCACAACATGTGCTATAAAAATTAAATCAAACTAACTGTGCCTTAAATGTTTCCACTATGATACACAGAAAAATATGGCTTTGTGAATTTTATTTAAAAGTATGTAGTTGGTCCTGGCTGGTTTGACTTAGTGGTTAGAGCGTCAGCCCACACACCAGAGGGTCCTGGGTTTGATTCTCAGGCAAGAGCAGGTACCTGGGTTGTGGGCTTCGTTTGTGGCCCCGGTTGGGGCGTACACAGGGGGCAATCAATCAGTGTTTCTCTCTCTCTTTCTCTCTCTCTCTCTCTCTCTTTCTCTCTCTCTCTCTGTCTCTCCCCCCCACCCCACCCCCGCCACCACCACACACACCCTTTCTTTCCCTTCCCTTCAACTCTAAAAAAGGGGGGGAAATCAAAGGAAAATAATATCTTCGCTTCCACTCTCTAAAATCAATGGGAAAAATATCTTCAGGTGGGGATTAACAACACCAACAAAAGTATGTACTCATTACTCATTTGCATACTATAAAACTTTATTATGTCTCTAGATGAAGTCTTCAGTCATGAAGCATAGTAAAGATAAAATATTCTCCTGGAATTAAAACTGGAAATCACTTTTTCTTAGCACTGTATGTAAACCATCCAGGAGTGTGAGAGAGAGAGAGTGTGTGTGTGTGTGTGTGTGTGTGTGTGTGTGAAACAAAATCACATTTTCTAAGGCACTAGAAATTTTATGAAGTTTTTTAAGTCAACAAGAACAAAAAAATAAATACATTTAAAAATTTAAATTAGTAATAATAATGACAAATAGACACTATTTTATTTAGGGCAAATATTTTGCTGGTTCGGTCGGTTATATTCCAGTATATAAAACAGTGCATAGGATAGCAGATTAGTAATAAACATTTGCTGAATAACTGAATGGAAACTATTCCTGAATGCTTTACTCTGTATCCAAGACTATTTTCAATGCTTTATATTTATTATCTCAGTTAATCACTACAACTTCATAAAACAGATATTATCATAATCCCCATTTATAGAAAAGACATTAAGGAAGAATCATATTGTTATATTGGTGGAGTAGATATAATAAATATAAAATTTGAATATTAAAAGCAAAGCTGTAAAAATCACTATATACCTAGCCAGACCCCAAAAAGGATAAAATATCAATTTAGAATATGTCTAAGGTTCTGCACTATGTTTTTTGAGGAACATAAAAACCTCTGAACAATTCTAAACAAAATGTTTTAACATTAATACTTGTTAAATTCAAATCAATGTTGAGAATCTACTATGATTTAGTACTTCATGTATAAAAGTACTACCGTGTTTCCCTGAAAATAAGACATCCTCCAAAAATAAGACCTAGCGCATGGAAAACTAAGACATTCCCTAAAAATAAGACCTAGTGCATCTTTGGGAGCAAAAATTAATATAAGACACTGTCTTATTTTCGGGGAAACAGGGTAGTATATGTCACAGTCCTTGTCTCTAGAAGTTTTACATGTTATTCTATTAATCAAATATTGTCATTTTTTAAACAAGTGAATTTTAAAAAAGTAATTATACTTACCAGAAACTACTTTACCATATATTATGTATTTCTATTCCAGGCTACGAATCTGAAGAAAATTAAAATAATTTACCTGGTTCAGTAAGTAGATAATCTTTGTAAGAATATGCAGACATCTTCTTGGGTTGATGGGTGTTTCATTGAATAGTCGAGCCTGGAAACAAACAAACAAAAAAAATCAGTTTTATATATATATTCTATTTTCTCTATCTCAGATTACAGAAAATCAACCTTTATAAAATTAAGGCTATTGTGTATTTTAATAACAATATACAAATAATGCTAACTACCTATAATTTTCCATTTATAATGATATATAACTTATTAAATGTGATTTTGATTTTCCCTTAGATATTCCGCTTCAACTTTGTAAGCTCTGTAAAGAATCACAATTATTTATTGATATCACTTGAATATAATGAGTTGAATATCTATAACTTCCTTCAATAACCCTGCACTAAACACCTCTTCTGGCATTTTATTTAAAACTCTCAACATGTGGCCCTGGCTAGGTGGCTGTTTTGGTGTGTACACCAAGAAGGTGGTGATTTTGATTCCCAATGGGGCCTGCACAGGAGGCAAACGATCAATGCTTCTCACATCGATGTTTCTCTCTCTCTTTTTCTCTCTCTCAAAAATTCAATAAACACATCCTCCAGGAGGATTAAATAAATAATTCTCAACATGTAGCACAGTCTAAATGTTTTTGCATTTCTCTCTCCTCTGACAAGCAAACCCTTTTCCTTTCCCCTTAAGTCTATATTCTCTGAACTCAGACATATTCCTTAATTCTTATTTCGGATCTCAGCATTCCAAGGTCTCTCTGCCCACCATTCTAAAATGGAATGGAAAAGAAGAAACACAATAGACTTCCAAGCCATACCTCCTGTAAGACAGTGCTCTTCTCCAGATGCCGAAAAGGATTGGAGCCACTACCTATAGCATAAAACAAAACATATCTTTAACAGCTGTCCTACACAAACTTATCTCCTGCAGGATACTGAATGTTTGGGATCTCTCACCCAAGTGAAGCGACCATTTGGATATCACAGTGATAATCATTACTAACATGCATATCAACTAAATATAGTCAGTTTTATTCTGAAGCAATGTCTGTCAATGCTTTCTTGTTTAAGATCTTGTACTTCTGCAGGAACCCTGCCCTGTCCTCTTTTTTAATATATGAATATTACAAGTTTTATCTGTCATGTCCATAGGACCGAGATTAATGAGATCATGGTAGGGCCCTTTGGAGTTTCCCCCAAAGGCGAGCACGATGTTATGTGTTTCTAACATTTACTGTGAGGCAGAAGCGCGTTTAGCAGGTCATCACATATGCTTAAAGGTGGAAAAAGGGCCATGGAGGTTTGACTAACCCAACCCTCTCCCACTCTTTATGAGCGAGCGCAGCAATCAAGCACTGAGTTTTGTTCTGTTGGTTTGCAAGGTGGCTTAGTATCTTCCCCTTCTGCTCTGGGCCAAGGTATGGGGCCGACTCTCTTTGGGGTGCATTACAAGATCTAGGTGCCATGAGCCAGGTATGACCTCTGGGGAGCAGACAGTGTATACAGACCCCCAGGAAGACTGTAATGCACAAGTCACTTCCAAGTTCACACACACACACACACACACACACACACACACACACACACACACTCCGGTGGATCTGAGACTCGCTCTGGGCCTCGCACTAGGTGCACCCCTCGCCCCTGACTCTCGCACACGCACACCCTCCCTCCGCCCCCTCCCCGGCGCCCGCAGCCTCAGCGGGCAGCCCACCCTCGGCGGGCGGGGCGGAGCGCCCAGAGGAGGGGAGGGGGCGGGGGCGGGGGCGGGGGCGGCGGAGGGGGCGGAAGGGAGGGGGCGTGGGCGGGGCCGCCGAGCGGGCTGGGGCGGTGGGCGCGGGGGCGCCTGCGCGGCCGGGCTGGGGGAGGGTCCGGCGCCGCCGGGGGAGGGGCTAGGGGCCGGCCCCGCTGGAACGGCCCCCGGCACACCGGCGCCCACGCCCCCGGGTCTGCAGTCCCCGGAGCAGGTGCGGCGGGCGGGCGGGCGGGGGAAGGGACCCCCCGCGGCGGAGGGTGGGTGGGCGTCAGAAGCCCAGCGCGTACCAGACTCCTCGTCCTTCTTGTCGAATTTTTTAAGCATCTTGGACGACTTCCCAGCGCCCAGACCCACCGCAACCTTCCCAGGCGCCGCAGCCGAGCGGAAGAGGCTGCAGGAAGGCGGGCCCCGCGCTCCGGTGCGGGTTGGGCCGCCGGCGCGTCACTCGGGGCGAAGGCCCGCCCTCCCGGCTGTCGCGACCGCTCAGGTCCCCCGGGGCCGCAGCCACGCCCACTTATGTTCCCCCCTGTCTTTGGGGGCGGGGCCAGGCGCCCAGTCCGGTGCCGCGTGGTGGTCGCTGCTGCAATGGGTCGGAATTCCCCGCCCCCCCTCCGGCCCACCTTGCCAGCGACTGCCCGCAGTGGGCAGAATGTGGTTTTATGGGGTTGGCATGCCCTAAAGAACGTCTTCTGCTGGCCCCTCAAGTCCGCGGAGACAGAGGCGAGAGGCCTGGAGGGTTTACTTTTACTTAGTGACAATGGTGTTGTTGAGAAACCACTGCTTGACCCTCCCGTTGCGGAAGGCGCTCGTCCCCGGCGCCGTTTTACTGGGCTTCAGCTCCAGGAGCGATGCCAGGGTGAGTGGTTCCCACTCCACCTTCCTACGCAGCATGGCACTTTTCGACTCCTTGGCGACTGCAACAAAACACAGGAAGGTGCCTCGGTGAATGCGGACTTCCAGAGGGGAGACTTGACAGGAGGCGTGATATTGACGTGAAATTGACGCACTTGGAGGGACGAGCAAAGGGGACTTGACTCTTCGTAAGAGCATGGACTAACATTCCCAACTTTGCTTATAATTCTGGATTCCTGACCTTCCTCAAAGCCCAGATGAAAACACTGCCAGTTTAAAGTATTTCTCTGTTGAACCTCGCCCCTCTCAAATGATTCTATCCACAACCACACTGATAACCCATGTCACTCTTACGAAGTTGAGGTACAGTCACTTGTATATTCTTGTACCGCTTAGCCTTTTCCCTAAGTGTGTTGGTTTTGAGTCTCAACTACCTATTTTGAGTGCTCGGAAATTCTTCAATGGGTCCCAACTGCCTAGTGGAGAAAAACCCAAACCCTTAATCCATAGAACCCAGGCCCTTCATGATTTGGCCCATCTGTCTCATACATCGATTGTGCTACTATGGGTGCTTGGTTAAGTGATGAACACTTGCTAGTTACCCCGTAAACGTTCTTACATGAATGATAACTTGTAAGGAGCATTCTCCTTACACCCTCCTCCATTCCATGCAACCTTATGTCAAACCCCTCCCACCCCACGTCCTGCCTCGTTCCGGAAGACACTCCTGGACCTCTGAGACTGTGAGGCTGACAGACTTAGCCTTTGGACCTTCTAGAACAGTTTTTATCAAGTGTGATATGCATACTACTGGGTAGTTTTAGGTGATACATAAACATTTCAAATTCTAATTATTATGAGTTTGATTAAATGTCAGGGCAAGAAAACATAATTAGTATATCAAACCCATGTTAATGATATGGTATTAATTAGGACAAGAACAAAATCATTAAATAAATAATAGGGCAAATAACTTAATATACTCGAACTTTTAAAGTGGTAGGTGATGCAGTTTGGGAAGCACTGTGCTCTGGCATCTTGAAATTTGAAGATTTAAGCAGAATTCAAAACCTAGCACTATTTGAGCCTCTATCAGTTCTTAGCTTCTGTGCTACAAGGAAAAATAGTCTCCAGAACTTCCATGAAAGATGTCGATTTGCCCTTAAATCTTGTCTCTATAAGTTGCCCCTCTGCCCACCTCTCAGTCCTGTAAGCCACTGCTTTGAATGAGAGGAGCTTACCAGCTTTCTTCAAATCTTCTTTAGAGAGTTTAGCAAAGTCGAGCTGAGGGAACATATTTTTCTGCTTCCTCAAAGTGCAGACTGTTGAATACTTCCCTTCACTCTTGAAATCATTCTTGGTGGAAAACCTTAACAAAGAAAGCTCATTTAGTAAATCCTAGGGTTGGGTGTTAGTGGAACCAGTCACTACACTCTCAGATTCCAGGGGAGAGAAGGCAAGGATAGGTGTTTGTTGGTACAGTGGGGATAATGTTCAGTAAAAGGGATGCTTTTAGAACCTAGCCTGTAAATCTCTTAAGGAAGTTCAGAATCTCCTCTCTCCTCTCCACATTGGATATAGGCTGCTCATAGAACTAGTTTCAAATAAAATCTCACAGCACATTGTTCCTATGCTATAGCCCTTATCATGCACTGAGCGGGAGGGTTGGGGGTAGGAGGAGAAGGTGTTTTTTTTTCTGTTTCCTCAAATCATAGATCTTTGAATATTTTTTTCTTCACTCTTGAAAATCCTTCTTAACAAAAAACCTTAGCTTTGAAGGAGTTTCTCTTTCTTTAGGGTGTAAAAGATATTGGGGATTGTGTGTTATTAATATACGGTTGTACTTTTCTATACCTTAACAAGCAGAAAGATTAAATCGTATTGAAAATAGATTGTAACATGAATAAGGTAATGATGGGAAAGAAAGAGAGAACAAGAGCAGCTAGGACTTCACCTAAACAGTTGTTCTTGCTTGGATTTGGCATCCTTCAACACTGTCACAGGGAAGACTGGTTTCAGCTTAGGTCTTAAACTTTTCTGAGGCAACGGAGGTAGGTAGCTCTCAGTGGGTTTATGCTGATTACTTTCCTGCTGCAGAGGAAAGAAGAGTAAGTAAGGTAGTGAACCAAGGACCTTGGGACTTAAAGTTCTTGGACTAAGTTCCAAACCCCCATCATGATTGGACCAAACCTGTCAGAGGAGGAAGCAGGCACTCAGAAACCAAAAAAAAGAGGAAGCAGTTCCCAGTGGGCTAACCCATGTTTGTTTCCTTGCCAGATGACTTGTCCAAAGCTTTGCCAGCTTCCTTAATACTTTATTGAACTTGCCCCCTGACCCTTTGAAGAGCATGGTGGAAGAATTTACCCCATTCTGAGAAGGATTCAATTAGTGAATTGCTTAGTAAATCGAGCATTTGATAATAAGTTGGGGGGAAATCCATAGGACTCCACCTTCCTTTCTCAGAGATGGCTGCCTCATTCACATTTTATTCTCTGAAGTAAAGAGGCCATCGAATGAAGTGTTTTGTGATGTAATAATGTCATCATTTGTAAAGGTTAGAGTCAAAGACTTTCAGAAAATATAGTAGAAGTCATCTAATCTAACCATTTATCTGACACTCATTTCACCTACACAATATCTTTATCAAGTGGTCAACCTTCCTATACCTAAAACACTAACCTAACCCACCAGTGTGGCTCAATAGTTGAGTATCGACCTAGGAACCAGGAGGTCATGGTTTGATTCCTGGTCAGGGCACATGTTTAGATTGTGGGCTTGATCCCCAGTAGGAGACATGCAGGAGGCAGCCATTCAATGATTCCTTCTAATCACTGATATTTCTATCTCTCTCTCCCCCTTTCCTTTCCTCTCTGAAATCAATGAAAATATATTTTTTAAAAACACAACCTAATTCATCTTTGATCATTGATAGCTATAACTTCTAATTTATAGTTCAAACAGAACAAATCCAGTGTCTCTCCCAGAGCGTTCTTAAAGAATTTGGAGAACTCCATCAAGTTTCTCCTAAGCTATCTCTCTGTCTCTTCCGGGCTCAACATTGCCAATATTTTGAATTTTTCTTTATATGACATGGCTTGGGGTTCCCATTCTCCTGATTTATCTGATTATAACTCATTTGGGAAAGTTATGATTTATATTCTTCCTAATGTGCAGCAATCTGAAATGAAAACAATATGTGAGATGTCACAATTGCAAGACATAACCCATCACCCCAATAAAGTGTCAGATGTCATCAGCTCTTCTAAGAACATATTATTCAAATTATTATCTAAACTACACTATCTAAAATCACCTCTCACACCCATCACGCTCAATTTCTTTATCCTGCTTTGTTTTGGCATTTATCACATGTTTATATTAACTGTATGATTGCTTGTGATCTGTCTGTCTACCTCACTAGAATTAAATTTCATTTGGGTGAACTTTGCTTTAGTCATTGATATATCCCTGTTACCCATAACAGTGTTCTGCACATAGTAGGTGCTCAACAAATATTTTTGAATGAATGAAAAAGTAAATGAATGACCAAATGACTTAATGATATATATTGAGCTTTTTCTTTCAGAATTTTAAGGCCTTTTAAAAAATATTTGCTGCTGAATATGTCCTTTTAATTCTGTACTCATCCTATATAATAAAAGACTAATATGCAAATTGTCCCCGACTGGGAGTTCAACTGGGAGTTCAATTGCTCTCGATGACATGTGCTGACCACCAGGGGGCAGCCCAGAGCATGGCAGGTATCAGTGATGTGACACTGGCAGCAGGCAGCAGGCAGCAGTGGAGGTGCTACCGGCCCCAATGGGCTCCAAGGAGAATGAGACCACAACAGGATGGTTGAGCAGGTGAGTAGGCAGGGCCAGGCCAAGGTGGATGCGAGTGGGGGCTTGATTGCCCTGCTGATCATCCCGCAGGGATGTGACCAGCAGCCATGGTGGGGGCTAGGCCACTGCCCGGCTTCCAGGCGCTGAGGGAGCTAGGCAAGGGCCTGATGACTCAGGCAGAGGGGGACACCCAGGGGCCCAGGTGCTGTCCAGCGCCCAGATATCAGGTGGGACCTGCCCTTCTATGCCAGACACTTGGGCGTTGATTGCCAGCCAGGTCTAGGGGCCACATCCATGCACAAATTTTGTGCACCAGGCCTCTAGTTCTCAATAAACATCTCCAGTTTTGAGGAACAGGCATCCATTCATCAAAGTTACCTTGTCTAATAGAAGTTTTATTGTAAGAGCACATGTGCCTAGGAAGTAAGACATAGCTAACAATTTGGCCACAAAAAGAGCAGAACCTGAACAGAGTTAGATCTCATAGCAGAAAAACAGGAATGAAAAAATTATTTCAAATCCAAGATAGCATTAGTTAAGTACTACCCCTGCATGAGTTTATGTATCTTGATTCTACATCATATCATTAATGTCTCTCCTACTTCTTCCTACTTGCTTCCTCCTCTCTGTTCATTCAGCCTGCAGAGTACGCCTTTCAGCAATCTCAGCCCTGTGTCCATATGACATAGGCTTCTTATTAATGTTCATTCCTTACCTTACCCTGTATACCTTTTTTCCTATCTATTGCTTCTACTTATCTGTTTATATAAAAGCCTTATATGCAAATTATCCCCTTGGGAGTTCAATCACTCACTATGATGTGCGCTGACCACCAGGGGGTGGTACGGAATGAAGGAAGGTCCCAGCTGGCAGCTGGCAGCTGCAGCTGACAGCCAGGGAAGGAAAACCCTGGCCAGTTGCTGGAAGGCCCTGATTAGTCCTGGTCACTAGCTAGGTGTAGGGATCCTACTCATGCATGAATTTTGTGCACCAGGCCTCTAGTTCATTTATATTCCCCTATGATTTCAACCTGCTCCTATTCTAATCTTATTGTCTTTATACTATCTTCTTTATTTTTTAATTGTTTAAAATAATTTTTATTGATTTCAGAGAGGAAGGGAGAGGGAAAGAGAAATAGAAACATCAATGATCAAAGAGAATCATTGATTAGCTGTTCCTGCATGACCCCTACTCGAGATTGAGCCTGCAACCTGGACACGTGCCCTTGACCGGAATCAAACCCAGGACCCTTCAGTCCACAGGCTAGCACTCTATCCACTGAGCCAAAACAGCTATAGCTTTACTTTTTTAAAATTGATTTCAGAGAGAAAGGGACAGGGAGACAAAGAGAGAGAAATATCAATGATGAGAGAGGTTCATTGACTGGTTGCCTCCTGCATGTTCCCCACTGAGGATTGAGCCTGCAACCCAGACATGTGCCCTGACTTAGAATGGAATTGAACTCTGACCTTCTGGTTCATAGGTCAACACTCAAACACTGAGCCATGCTGGCTGTCTAGACTATCTTTATGGCTTCTCTGTGTCCTTGCAGCTTTCATTCCCACTACCTCAATATTTTCCTTTTCTAGTTCAGATGCCTGTAAACAAGAATCTGATTAACTGAGGGATTTGGGTTGTTGGTAATTTGATTTGTTTCATTTTGGGTTTATTTTATTTTGGTAGTGACCACCACAGGTCACTAAACAAACTATTTTGCTTTCCTGGGTCTGGTGTGCTTTTCTGTTCCTAACTAGGAGGAGAGGACCAAGTCTAGTTATACAAAATAAGCCCTAACCAGTATGGCTCAGTGGATAGAGCATCAGCCTGCAGACTGAAGGGCCCCAGGTTCGATTCCAGTCAAGGGCATGTTCCTTGGTTGCAGGCACATACCCAGTAGGGAGTGTGCAGGAGGCAGCTGATCGATGTTGCTTTCTCATCAATGTTTCTAACTCTCTATCCTTCTTTCTTCCTCTCTGTAAAAAAAAAAAAAAATCAATAAAAAATATATTTTTTAAAAATAAGACCTCTTAGGGCATCCTTTCCTTCATGAACTGTGGTAGATTCATTTCACTGAGAAGGGGATATGAGTATAGACATGTGTGGCTCATTTGGTTGAAAGGTGGTGGGTTTGATTCTTGGTAATTTAAAAATAAGTAAATAAATAATTTTTTAAAAAATAACAGGAGAAACCATAGGCAATATATTAGTTAATTAACTCCTTTGTCCACATATAACTTTGGATACTAGTAATTTATCTTCTACTTGAAAAGAAATCTCTCACTGCCATTCATGTAGCAACTAAGGAAATACTAATTCCAAATTCACTACACTCTGTTTTGGGAAATTCCCCTCCCAGCTTCAAATTTCTGTTATAACTATATTCTTTTGTTTGTACTTTCATTTATTTCATTTAATTGTTTCTTGTTATATTAGGCCCTCTCTCAAGACTATCAAGGTTTGTGTCATGCACTAGAGGCCTGGTGCATGAAACTCATGCACTGGAGGTGGAGGAGGGGCAGGCCCACTGCCGACAGCACAAGCCTTGGTCGGCCCTGGTTACCTGAACTTCCGGTGGCCGAGTGGCTGGGCAACTGCCATCTGAGGCTTGCCTGTGCCTCAGGCTGACCCTGAGTGGTGGTGGGGGGAGGAGGGGAAGGGCAGACCCAGTCTTGCTGCATGCCTGCCGCCCCACAGAGCTGAGGAAACTGGGTGCTGCCTTCTTGTGGCGGTGGTGCCACCATCTTTGAGGGTGGTACAGTCAATTAGCATATTCCTCCCTTATTGGCTATGGGTGCTATCATCTTTGAGGGCCAGGCAATCAATTAGCATATTCCCTACTTATTGGCTGTGGTCGCCATTATCTTGGAGGGCAGGGCAGTCAATAAGCATATTCCCTTTTTATTAGATAGGATTTTAGAGAAAGAAAGACATTGATTTGTTACATTCATTGGTTGTTTCTTATATGTGCTCTGACATGGGACTGAACACACAACCTTGGTATTTTGGGACACTAACCAACCGAGCTACCTAGCCAGGGCTATCAAAATCTTTTTTAGATCCTGATTCCTTAAATGGATATTCTTTACTTCTTCAGCTGTTGATTTAGTTTCTATTCCTCAGCATCTCTTATCTTGATGATTGTAATAACATCATAACTAATCTTTCAGATTTTTGTCTCTTTCTCCCAAACTCAAAAAGGAGGGGGCGTATTTTGAGTATATCCTTTTATTACCTGCCATTTACTCTCTTAAAACTCTCTAAATGTGCCTCACTTGCTCATGTCTCAATGGCTTTGCCCTTCCTTCTGATTGGAATATTCTCCTGTTCTTTATCAGGGGTGATCTATTCTGTAAAGCCTCTCTGATTACCCCTTTCCTCTCAACAGAACTACTATGAGTTCTGTATCTTGTATATTCTTTTTATTTTTAAATATATTTTATTGATTTTTTTTTATAGAGAGAAAGGGAGAGAGATAGTTAGAAACATCAATGAGAGAGAAACATCAATCAGCTGCCTCCTGCACACCCCCTACTTAGGATGTGCCGGCAACCAAGGTACATGCCCTTAACTAGAATTGAACCTGGGACCCTTCAGTCTGTAGGCTGACACCCTATCCACTGAGCCAAACCAATTAGGGCTTGTATATTCTTTTATGATTCATACTAGAAGCCTGATCGGGCCTAAATGGACAGTTGGACATCCGTCTCACAATCCAGGACTGCTGGCTCCCAACCACTCGCCTGCCTGTCTACCTAATTACCCCCTAACCACTCCCCTGCCTGCCCAATTACCCCTAACTTCCCTCCCCTGCAGGCCTGGTCCCCCCAAAATGTCCTTCCCTGCAGACCTGGTCTCTCACAACTGCCCTCCTCTGCCAGCCTGGTCACCCCTAACTGCCCTCCCCTACAGGCCTGATTGCTCATAACTGCCCTCTCCTGCCACCCATCTTGTGGCATCCATCTTGTGTCCACACTGGGATGGCCATCTTTGACCACATGGGGGTGGCCATCGTGTATGTTGGAGTGATGGTCAATTTGCATATTACTTCTTTATTATATAGGATATCTTGATGTATTATAATTACTCATTTATTGATCTGTCTTTCCTGTTAGACTCCAAGTTTCTTCAAGATAGAAACTGCCCTAAACTAGTAATCATCTTTATATTTTAGTTCTTAGATTAGTGTATTTTCACTGGTTGGTTACTAAATTGGATTTGAACTTTTTTAGTATATAACAGGCTCTACAGCAGCGGTTCTCAACCTGTGAGTCATGACAGAGTCGCCTAAGACCATTGGAAAACACAGATATTTACATTATGATTCATAACAATAGCAAAATTACAGTTATGAAGTAGCAACAAAAATAATTTTATGGTTGGGGGTCACCACCACATGAGGAACTGTATTAAAGGGTCCCAGCATTAGAAAGGTTGAGAACCACTGACTTAGAGGGAAGAGGTTGGCTCTTGAATACCATGTTAAGTTAGCTTCCTTCTTGAAGCTCATGCCTAATTCTCCGGGGTCCTTACTCAGGATGCCAGGAAACTTCAGGTGCCATTACCTTGACCAGTAACTCCTTGGAAAAGAAAGGTGGTTCGAAGTCCTTTCCTTGTTGCTCCATAGGAAAGGGAAGTGGGTTATTGGTCATTATGAGTATGGTCTTATCTTGATCGTACTCTGCGACTTTGAGCATGAAGCTCAACATTTTCCTGTTTCGAGCCACAAATCTCTGCTGTTTGGTGGGCTTCAAAGGCTCATAGTACCGGCTCTGAGCAGACAGACAAAAAGGTTTCCAGAGAGACAAAGCGATTAGATCAAGAGAAGGTTAATAAATCCACTGGCTAATCTTCGGCCTCTGTGGGGTAGGGACAGAGGCAGGACACGGGCTGGACAAATCTGCTCCGAAATATGTTTATCAGAAGAAACCTGGAGCTCACCGGCCCTTTCTGCCCTCCGAGTATTCCCCACACATTGACGAAGGGGCTGGGGGAATGACATGGAAAGCTTTCCACAATAAAGGGAGAAAGACAACTTAATTCTTCTGAAAGGGAGAAAGACGGCTTAATTCTTCTGAACAGAATCTGTTCATTACAACAGGGCAGAGAGATTTCTACGTTAAATCTCGCTGGTCTTCTCTCCAACTCCCTGAGAGGCAGAGGCTAGAAACTGCCAGGGACCCAATCTTCTTGTCAAGGAGTTTGGAGGGTGGGGGTGACACCAACAGTCTCACTCACTAAGGCGTTCCCACAGGCACAGCCGCATTACCATGCATAATAGGCACAACGTTTTAAAAGGAAAAGCAGTCACAAAAGACAGCATGTCACTTAAGATGTGGGTGGGGGCAGAGGCAGTTCCACTAAATTTTCTTTTCTGTCAATAGGGGGAAAGCGGGGGATTAGATGGGGGGGGGGGGGAGGGAGAGGGAAAGAATGAAACACCTTCTGATTATTAATATGTTTTCTCAACTTAAAACGACTATTTCAGCTACAGGGACCAACTTCTTCCCAGTACCCCCGCTCCCCTGCTCTCTCCCTCACCACGGCCTTTCTCTGCACTGCCTCTAGCCACTGTCCTAGGGCCCAGCAGCCTGTCCTGCCACAGAGGTGGCAGCGTTTGGAGGCATATGGACACTCTTTCCAGCTTCCACCCCACTGCTGAGACTTGCTCTTAGGAATCTCGGTGGGAGCTGAGGCGGGGGGGGGGGGGGGGGGAGAGGGGGGGGGAAGGGCGGGGGGGGGACCGCGGCGCCCGGCTAGGGAACAGGGAGGAGGGGAGGGAAAGCTTTTTTCCACCTACCAATTTTGGATGGACTACGTAATACTGAAGGTTCTCTGGAACATATTTCGATTGCCCAGCTGCATAAGAAACCTAGAGACAGTAATCAGAATTAGTGGTTTCTAGCTGCACTGTCCTAAACAATATTCCGTTCCCGACTCTCACTAAAAGGTGAGAGTCGCCAAATTAACGAGACGGAACACTGTGCTTTGTGTTTTGCACCCCGGGTCTCTGGAGTGAGAGCCACAGCATGGAGGGCTGGGTTCTGAGACATCCTGACTGGGAAGCTTGTCCGTGGAAATGGGGACCCGTTTTATGAAATGTCAGGTCCAGCTGTTCGGAGGTGAAGTAGACAAAGGCAGCATTAAAGTTCAGACTGGGACAAGTCCCTCCAAGGGATCGCACCTCCTTCTTCTGCCTTTTCACTTCTGTGGGAGTGGAATCAGGTGGACATCAACATGTAGCTTGCTTTTCACCTCTTTAAGGAGAAAAGGAAGTCACAAAAGGGCGATAGCTTAAGGGTTGTGAATGAAGGGAGTCCTGGGAATTGCTGCCCATGGAGCGGGGAGCATACAGGCTCACAGAGGAAGGAGAAACAGCATTTTACATTTCTGAATGTTTCTGTGGCATGCAATTCTCCCCAAAATGTTACCAAAAATAGCTGAACGTTAGGTAAGACTTCTGTCTACTACTTTGTATTTTTTTTTGGCAGGTGATTGGCAGACTGAGTGTCCTGCCTGGTAGTAGAAGTGCTAGGCCACCTGAGTCTCCCTCTGCTGACCACCCCCACCAACCCACCCCACCCACACACACTGCTCGTTGCCCAGCCTCAAGCGTAGCCCTATGTTACCTAAGGATGAGTAAATCAAAGGGAGGAGAATCCAAAGTGAAAAAAAAAAAAAAAGCTGAGTTACCTCCTCCAGGCTTAGCAAAATGAGAAATCAGAACAAGGGGGAGGGAACATAATCCTAGTATTTGGGCCCTAAAGATTGCCATGTCCCCAGGAAGGTGATCTGGTAAGATGGGGTACGGAAGAAAGGGAACATGCACTTGAAAGGGTTAATAAAGCAATCAGGTGAAAGGAGGAGAGGAAAGCGGTAAGAATGGGGCAGATGTGGGATGAGGACAGGCCATTATTATGCCCCTGAAAGAAAATGTCAGGAGTTGGCCATTCCAGGGAGATGAGGAAGAACAGGGAGGAGGTCTTGCAGAGTCATTCCATACATCGCTTTGAGAGCGTGGGGTAAAATACGGGACAAATACAAAGATGCAATAATTTAATTTGATCACCTTTTGGAAAACTGAAGTCCCTTTGTTAGAAACAAAGGCATAATGTGAAAAACCTGCTTCATAGATATGATATATAAAATACATATTTAAAATCATATAGAAGTCTAGGGGAAAAATTTGGGGGGAAAGATGTAAAAGTCTTTTTTTCTATAGTTTTTTTTAAAATATATATTTTATTGGTTTTTAACAGAGAGGAAGAGAGAGGGATAGAGAGTTAGAAACATTGATGAGAGAGAATCATCGATCAGCTGCCTCTTGCACACCTCCTACTGGGTATATGCCCGCAACCAAGGTACATGCCCTTGACCAGAATCAAACCTGCGACCTTTCAGTTCGCAGGCGACGCTCTATCCACTGAGCCAAACCAGTTTCGGCTCTATAGGTTTGTGTTTTATTTATTTACTTATTTTTAAAGAATTATAGCCAGAACAGGTTTGGCTCAGTGGATAGATGTTGGCCTGCAGACTGAAGGGTCCCAGGTTCAATTCCGGTCAAGGGCATGTACCTTGGTTGCGGGCACATCCCCAGTAGGGGGTGTGCAAGAGGCAGCTGATCGATGATTCTCTCTCATCGATGTTTCTAACTCTCTATCCGTCTCTCTTCCTCTCTGTAAAAAATCAATAAAATATATATTTTTTAAAATGACTTATAGTCCTGGCTGATGTTGCTCAGTGTTTAGAGCATCAACCCATGCACTGAAAGGTCATGGGTTTGATTCCCAGTCAAGGGCACATACCTGGGTTGCAGGCAACCAATCAATGTCTCCCTCACATCCATGTTTCTCTCTCTTCCCCTCCCTCCCTTCCCCTCCCTCCCTTTCTTCCATTCTTTCTCTAAAAATAAGAAAATAAACAAATGGGAAAAAATAATTATAGTGGGGAAGTTCTCTGGGCAAGATGGTTTAGCCCTAGCTGGATATCTCAGTTGGTTGAGTATTGTCCCAATACATCGATGTTGTGCGTTCAATTCCCAGAAAGGGCTTATACAACAATCAACCAATGAATGCATGAATAACTGGGACAACAAATTGAAGTTTCTCTCTCTCCCTTCCTCACTCTCTTTCACTCAAATAAATTTTTAAAAATATGTTTTCACTCCTGAATTTTTCTGAGATAGTGCATCTCTGTTCCAAATTAGTCTCCAGCAGTTCACAAAACCCACAAGTGTGTCCAAATTGGAATATGTTTTAGTTTTATGTTGAATAACAGTATCTCTGCCTAATAAGATAAAAGTTGGCCTGAAAAAAATCACTTAAGTAGAATAAACCTGAGGATGCAACCAAACTTTTGCTGCAAGAGGTGGCCATGTGCCCAGCCAGCATGGCTCAATGGTTGAGTATCAACCTATGAACTAGGAAGTCATGTTTCAATTTCCAGTCAGGGCATATGCCTGGGTTGCAGACTCAATCCCCAGTGTAGGGCATGCAGGGGACAGCTGATCAGTGATTCCCCAACATCATTGATATTTCTATCTCTCCCTTTCCTTTCTTATCTGAAATCAATAAAAATCACACACACACACACACACACACACACACACACACACACACACATATATATATATATATATATATATATATATATATATATATATATATTTTTTTTTTTTTTTTTAAAGGAAGTGGCCTGAATTCTAGGTAAGTCAGGGTGTAACACTCACACCCTAAGATCCCTGATTTTGTACCCTGGTTTATTGCTGTTGTATCCTATCTATCTCTTTTCTCTGTCTCTGTTTACCTTAAATAAAATGGATCAATTAACCTTGCTAAATGACTTTTGACTTTTTTTTTTTTGCTTTTCAACAAAAAGTTTGTAGGACACAGCTTATAAAATATTCTAAGCTACTCCAAAGAAAAATTATAAACGAACATTTGCTAATTCTCTTCCTTACCTCATCAGCATCCGTATTTCCTTTCTCAAGTTTACCTGCATTAATTCCTGGAGTCCTTGATTTGTCATTTGAGGGGCTGGAAAAGAGGCAGAACATCCAGTTGCTTAGAGGCCTGGTCTTCTGCATGTTTTAAATCTCCTTAACAAAGTTGGGAGCCTGACTTAGAAGAGCTCTATTTAGGTGATCACTAACTGAAAAACCTATGGATAGTAAAGAATAGGATTCATTATCCAGCCTGCATCCCAGGGCAGGGGTCAGGGGTGTAGAGAGGTAGGGGTTGAAGAGACAGAATCTCAGATTGAAGAGTTAAGCAAGTGGGACCTCTTGGAGACATCTAATGAGTTATTTTCTTCTCAAATACGGAAGTTAATTTCTTCTCATATAGGGCCACTAAAGGAAGTGCTCTAGTGGACTGGTTAAGGAACTACTTTCAGATGGCTGGACCCTCAGCATACCTTTGAAGATGACCTACTTCAATTTTGAAGGCCTATTTGCCTCTTCCCATGGAAATGGTTCTCCCTGCACCAATGATTAACCAATGAGTCCATAAGAAGGAATATAGTTAGTGGAACTTCACAAATAAAATTCCAATTTTCAATGCTCAAGCTTGGATTCTGGGCTCCCTTGTGTTCCTAACCATATCTAAGTTTCTCTTCCTAGAAGTGGGGTAGTGAAAATAATAATCAATAGTAAACATTCTCATACTCTGCTCTTTCTCTTACACAGATACCACCCTCCTTTGTGGGAAACAGGATAAGGGGCAGAAGTTGTGATCTTTGTATTTTTTTTTTCTTTTTTCTTAGATGTTGCAATCTTTAGTAATTAAGTATTTTGGATTCCTTGACTGATTCTTATTAAACCCATTACTTCCCGAATATAGTAAAAAAAAATGTTCAGCAGTAAGGTTGGGTTTATAACCAAAATAAGTAGATGGTTCCCTTCTTAGAGACAGTTCCATTTGGGGGGTTATCCAGTTCAAATTAAGTAGGATCCTACAACTACTTCAACGAGACCTCTCTCCTTTAAAAAGGAGGGTAGCAGCCGAAACCGGTTTGGCTCAGTGGTAGAGCATCGGTCTGCGGACTGAAAGGTCCCAGGTTCGATTCCGGTCAAGGGCATGTACATTGGTTGCGGGCACATCCCCTGTAGGGGGTGTGCAAGAGGCAGCTGGTCAATGTTTCTCTCTCATTGATGTTTCTAGCTCTCTATCTCTCTCCCTTCTTCTCTGTAAAAAATCAATAAAATATATTAAAAAAAAAAAAAAAAAAAGGAGGGTAGCAGAGTAAGGACCAAAATAAGAAAAGTAGAAATAGTCAAGCTATATTGTTGGTGGGTCAGCGGACTATAGCATGGTACAAATAAACCCAAATCCAGGATCAATCCCCTTCAAGGGTGGCTTGCTTCCACTTCAGGCCAATGTGGCTCAATGGCTGAGCATGATCCATGAACCAGGAAGTCACAGTTTGATTCCAGATCAGGGAACATACCTGAGTAGCAGGCTGGATACCTGGCGTGAGGTGAGCAGGGAGCTCCCAGTGACTGATTCTCTCTTATCGATGATGTTTCTCTCTTTCTCTCTCCCTCTCCCTTCATCTCTGAAATCAATAAAAATACATATTTTAAAAAAATAGTCTTAAGGGGAGCAGATGATACATTGTGGTCAGGCCAAAATAAATTTATCCCCACTTAACATCTTAAAGTTGGCGCCCTTTCAACATGTCCTATTTCCTTAAGTTACCTAATAATGATATATTACAATTTTTATTGTACCACTTAAAAATAAATCTTTGGTATCTAAAAGGTAGCACTGGGTTCCAGATACTTTTCTTCAAGGACAATTTGAGGCACAGAGCTACATGAAAAATCCTTCCTCGGCCCAGCTGTGTCTAACTTGGACAGCCTGGTGCTTTTCTTTTGGCAAAGCTACTCCAGTTGCTGCATGAAATCCAGACCAAGATCTGGTTTTCTATCTGAGAACAGTCAGTCAACTGAAGCATTTTTAATGAAGGTTACTGTGTGGCTAGAACTGTTAGAAGTTCTATCAGCTACAAAATAAGTTCCTATAAGATGGTATTTATAACTTAGATGGGCAAATAAGACTACACACTTGCTAAGTCTTCTTTGGTCCATTGCTGTTCGCTGCTAAATGGGCCAACCCAAAGCAATTAATCACCCAGATGCCACACTCAGTGCTTCTGAATGGTCCACATTCTGTAGGGGTTCGATTTAATACAAACACTGTTTCCTTAGCATACACTGTGTGCCAGCCCCATTCTTGATCCTGTATGAGAAACAAGAGAAGAGTGATAGGAGTTGGAAGTGATTGTTAAATCTGAAACAGGAATGAAAAATCTCTCGGGGCTTCAACTTTCTCATCTGTAAAAATGGGGAGAGTTAACCAAATGCTGTCAAGGTGACATTTCAATTCTATGATGTTGGTGAGATTTATCTACATAAAGACCTGAAATAAAATTAATTTATGTGTCAGTAATGGGGGAGAGTTGGAGGTGCAGACATCCCCTCTCAATACAACCTGGTTTGTCCAGGGAGTTGCCACTTTCTGATAATTACAAGTAGAAGAAAAGAATTGAGGATTTAGAACCCACCATTAGAGAAAAAAGAGGATTAGTGATGCCTGGGGAGAAAATGTTTCCAAAAGGATGTGGAGATTGATCTGGGCCTTGTAGGATGGTTTGTGAAGTAGCTAACTGGGAAATTACTTGTTTTTCTTGTTTTAGTAGGATGGGATCCAATTTTGGGGCACTGACAATTAAGTAGAACTTAGATAAGGCCTATCAACTGAAGCTCCTATTAAGTCTATGGGTTTGGAGGAAAGATCTTTGTTAGTGTTGATAGTGTCAAAGGTTATATCTAGTTTGATCATCTAGACTGAAACCCTAAAAATTATTGTCTAAAGTTTATGACTAGGTTGAGCTAAACTGTGAAACTTACAGGGAAACAGGCTAAGGAGCTTTTCACCCTTTACTCACATTTAGTTTTTCCACTTCATCTTTACATTAAAATGAAAATAAATAGGAGCCATCAAACTGGAGGGCACAAATCTTGTGCTGCTTGTCTGTAACTTAGGGTAGGAAAAAAAAAATCTCAGAAACTATGTCAAAAATAAGAAAGATGTGGTGTACAATACCTCAAATAACACCAGGAAATCTTACTTCAGGGAAGGAGGGGGGAAAGCCTTGATACGGAAACTTTCTGTTTTGAAAATATCTGAATTATTCTTTTCTTGATTCTGAAAGAGACAGTGGGAATTTGTGACGAACAGGCAATCTAGAATGCTGAGGTGTTCTATGTTGGAATCAGAGAATAAAAAGCACAAATAAAATCTGCTCCAAACTTTTCCCCCTAACCTTTGACTTTCACACACACACGCACACACACACACACACACTCTGACCTTTTCACCATATCTGCCTTTTATTTTAATCCTCACCTGAGGATTTTTTTCCTATTGATTTCTAGAGAGTGGAAAGGAAGGAGGAGAGTGGAGAGAGAGAGAGAGAGAGAGGGAAGAAGAGAGAAAGAGAGAGGCATCGATGTGAGAGAGACACTTCAATGGATTGCCTTCCCGATCTCTCCAGCCCTCTGGGTAACCTGAAACTAAGGTACATGCCCTTGACTAGGAATTGAACCTCAACCCTTCAGTCCCAGGCTGACACGCTAACCATTCCTCAACTGGCCAGGCTTTTTTCACCATATCTTAATCAACCTCTACCTTGGACAATGTTTTCACCCTGTTCCTTAAACATAGTGATCCTTTTTCTCTTACTCCCCATACTTAAAACTCTCCCACCTACTTCAAAGAATTTGAATCTTCTTTCTATCTTTATGTTACTACTCAGGTCTTTCCTCTTTAGAGGAGACTTTCCAGATCAATTAAATCCAAAATTCTAGCTTACAGACATTTTTTGTGTGTGCACAAAATGATACAGTATCTTGTAGTTCTACCTATATTTTTCTTATGTGTAGGTATTGTTTACCTCCTAGATAGTAAGCTCTTTAAAAGTAGAAATGTGAATATATATATATATATATATATATATATATATATATATATATATAGTGTGTGTGTGTGTGTGTACTAGACATTCAAAAATCAATACTTGTTTATTTCAATATATTGATCTGAACATTTATAATTGGATATAGTCACTGACCTCCAAGAGTTCATAGTTTAGCCAGGAAGAGGGACAAGAAAAGAGTTGAATGGAATAGATTGCAATGCCTATCCTACATAATAAAGAGCTAATAGGCTATTTAAACTGAACAGCGGAACAACTATCTGGATGACTTTCCGGACAACCATCTGGACAACTTTTTGGATGAGGCCATGGCTGGAAGGGCCAGACAAGGCAGCTGGGACTGTAGGGGCTGAGCCCCTTGCATGAATTTTGTGCATCTGGCCTCTAGTGTTACAGATAAATTCAGGGTGCTATCAGAGCACAGAGGGAGAGCACTTAGCCCAAATGAGAAGAGACTAGAAGAGATTTAGAACTAATGCCTAAACTGAGCTCTGAAAAAATGAGTGTGAGTTAATCAGGTAAAGAGAAGAGAAAGTGGGTATTTAAGAAAGAGGTAGCGAAAACATGAGACTAGAATAAAGCATGGCTTATTTGGGGGAATTGCAAATAACTGCAGTATTCTTGGGATATAAGATTTAACAGAAAGGTAGCAGAGATGAGGCTGGAGAGAGAGCTAGAGTTCAGATCTAAAAGCGAAAATCACCGATAGAAGCTTATAGCTTATTTTATGAGGAATGAAAAGCTATCAAGGAATTTTAACTAAGGTGATACAGTAAACAATATATATTTTAGAAATATGTAGATTGGACAGATGCAAGAAGTATAGATTGGAAAGGTTCAGGAGGCCTTTGAGAAGGCTATGGCAGTACTGAGAAAGATAAGGACCTGTAGTGCTTACAAATTTGTGCCACTCATCCCTGTTATCTAGTCCTGGATGGCTTATTCAAAGGTGGTCAACCAAGTTCTCTCTATTAAGGATTTGGAAGATTGACAAAGACACATAGAAATGAAAGATGATTGTGGCCAAGTTACCACATGCAGTATCCCAGATATAAACTGAGCTCAACCCACTGAGGTCCCCAGAGTTGCCCAGATCTCATCTATGCTGAAGCATGGTCATCCAGTTTTCCCTTCAATTCTGTGAGCTTTCCCAATACCCTTTCAAATAAATCTGCCCTCCTTCCCACTCCCCTTTAAATTAATCAGAGTTCATTTCTATTGTTCGCAACAACAAAGAATTTTAAACTGATATAGGCTCCCAAGCAAGGTGTTGGCAGTAAAGAGAGATTTAAAAAGGGATATTTGAAAGTTGTCATAATGAATAGGACTTGGTAATCAATTGGATCTATAGACTAATGATTATAACCACATTTTTAAAGCTTGGTTACCGGAGAGAATGGAGGTGCAATTTACCAAATGAAGAGTAAAGGAGCCGAGACCGGTTTGGCTCAATGGATAGAGCGTCGGCTTAGGGACTGAAAGGTCCCGGGTTCGATTCCGGTCAAGGGCATGTACCTTGGTTGCAGGCATATCCCCTGTAGGGGGCGTGCAAGAGGCAGCTGATCAATGACTCTCTCTCATTGATGTTTCTAACTCTCTATCTCTCTCCCTTCCTCTCTGTATAAAATCAATTTAAAAAATATATTTTAAAAAAAAAGAGTAAAGGAGATGGACCAAGTTTGGGGGATAAAAGATGACTTTTGTTTTGGTTGGATGTGAATGAGGTGCAGATGGGGACACTGCCTAGTAAATGGTTTAAAATATGCTCAAGAGCGCAGAGGATGGACTGTTGACTGTGCTGCTGGATTGCCCTAGAGGGAAGGAGACAAAAGCACCTGACTGTGCTGAGCCCCAGTTCTGACTGCACTTAACTCCAGTTCTAGACCAGATCCTGGGGACCCAAGCTCATATGGTGGGAATCTGGGCTGTAAGGCAGAAACTCAGGGGAAACTCAGGCGAAAGACAGAGCCCCAGAGCCCCAGAGCCCCAGAGTCATGCACGTTGTGCACAGAGGACAGATTGTTGACTGTGCTGCTGGATTGCCCTAGTGGGAAGGAGACAAAAGCTCCGGACTGCACTGAACCCCACTTCGAACTGCACTGAACCCCAATTCTGGGCTCATTGAGGGAGAGAATAGACTGTCTGATAGTGGGCAAAATTTGAGGACACTTTCTCTCAGAGGTGCTTGCAGTGAGTACCAAAGGAGACTGAGGAACACTGAGACTCAGGAACCTTATTGGGTGGGGCTGACAGGAAGCCAAGGCTGTAGGCTCCATCCTGAAACTCCGCCCCATCCAAGCTTAGAACAGAGGCTTTTGGATAAGTCTGACTCCTGGCATAGACACAGCTGATCCTCACAGCCAATTGGCCTGGAAGTCAGTTCCTCCCAGTGATACCAACAACAATTAAGACATAACTACAAAAGACTGTACACACAGTCCACAAAGGGGTGCACCAAGAGTGTCTATCTCAGATAACTGGGAGGCTGACTCACTGAACCATATAGGACACCTTAACACACAAAGCCACCCTACCAACTCAGGAAAGCAGCAAAAATGCTGAGACAAGGAAACAGATCACAAGTGAAAGAAATGCAGGACAAAAAGCGACTGGATATAGAGTTCAAAACCCCCACTTATAAAAATTTTCAAGAATTTCCTAGAAAAGGCTGATAAAATAAACGAGACCTATGAGATATGAAAAGGGATCAACTAGAAATAAAGAATACATTGTCTGAAATAAAAAATACTATACAGAGTCCTAAAAACAGAATGGAAGATCTCAAGAATCAAGTCAAAGATTTGGAACACAAAGAGCCAGAGGACACTCCTCCACAGAAGCAAGAAGGCAAGAGACTCCAGAAAATTGAAAATAATGTAAGAAACCTCTGGGACAACTTCAAACGAACCAACATCAGAATTATGGGAGTCCCAGAAGATGAGAGAGAGCAAGATATCGAAAACATATTGAAAGAAATAGTGAAAGAAAACTTCCCCCACCTAACTGAAAGAATTAGACTTACAAGTCTAGGAAGCTCACAGAACCACAAAGAAAAGGAACCCAAAGAGGACCACACCAAGACACATCATA